GCCTCTCGCCCTATGACAGCTGGGATAGGCTCCAGCGCCCCCCGCAACCCTGAAAAGGATAAGCGGAAGCGAATGGATGGATGGATATATGTATATATATGTATATATACGTGTGTGTCTCTCATTTTTTTTCCATTATATAAATAAAATTGTTATTATTATTACTGTTACTTATTTTATTAGTAGTAGTAGCAAGGCTGGACTGGCCGCTCGTGATTTTTCGTTTTAATGGGCCGATGGGGTTTTATTTCTTTTCTTTTTTTTAATGGTATAAATGAATGGTGGTGGATTGGTCAGTTGATCATGATCGACTCTGGGCTTGACCAGTTACAGCAGAGGAGGAGAAGTTGAGGTGAAAAGGAACGCGATTTCATAACTACTTCAGCTAGAAAGTTGCTAATTCAATCATGAAACTGATCAATGATCAGCTGATCGGCTTTTCTCTCTGCGCCAGAAAGAGGAAACCAGCGGACGTCGTGCTAAACAACAGCAGCACGTTGAAGCTTGATAAGCTGTTGTTAGCATTTATTTAATATTACTTTCTAGTATCAGCTGATGTTTGCTGGAGCCACAGCTGTAAAGCTGCTGGTCATGATATCGGTTTGGATATGTGGTGAGAGGGAAACATGAAGATGAAACCAGGAGATGTCCTTACTGAATCATCAGAGCTGAACAGGTGATGGAGAAGCAGGTTTACATTTTAAGTTGAAGGGAAGTTATGAACTGTTTCTGAGAGACAAATAACACCAGGATCCTTTGACAGCTGGTAACTGTGCAGGGGCGGGTCTAGCAAAGTTTTGCCAGGGGGCCAAGTAGGGCATTAACAGGGAGAGGGGGGCACAAAGAAATACTTTTCTTTCTTATTCTTATTTAAAATGTCTAACTTTTATTAAATATTTATCTGAATCTTACAACCAAAGTTTTCATCTGATTTAAAATGTATAAAAATCCATTATTTTATTCAGTAAGTATTAAGGTTAGTATATACCCTAGTAAGTTATAGGGCTTTGGAGCGTGATGTCACGGGAGGGGGCATGACCACGATTTTTGGTCAAGCCGCCATCTTAGTAGGCCAAACAAAGGGCTACAAGAGCGAAAGCACACGGAAACATCAGCTATGGCTCGTACTTGCTGTGTTGTCGGTTGCAATGTTAGATCGCATGATCGGGAAGGGAATAAGCTGGAAAATGGGCTCTCTTTTTATCGTTTCCCCTCCTGGAAGCAACATGAGGGATCTCATGTATCTGATGTTACCAAACGTGGACATCAGGCTTGGATAGCAGCGGTGAGATGAACTGATATCGAGTTCTCTGCCATCATTTTTTGTTGGTGTGCTCCTGACATTTTCATTCCGGTAAGTTCTAAAGAAATTCATATTGCTCTTTATAAGCTTTTAGTTTTATTTTCAATGCGCTGAGGTCATAGAAAATTAGAACAAACACCCTAATGTGTGATGCATCAGAGCTGTGTTCTGTTTATGGAGTAGCTTATCGGTGACAACTTCCCCAGAGTAGCGAGTGGAATTTGCCTTTTTTTGCGGACGGTGTGTTTATGTTTTCATCTAGAGCAATTTTTGGGGCAGCTGCTGAGGAGAAGTCAATGTTATGTGCAACCTCTGGCTGTATCTTGGTCATATGGTCAACGTACGCACAACGTGGAGGCTTAAAAGCGGCCAAATCTTGTACCCAACCGTTTGTGAATTAGATGTGCGCCTCCAGGGATTTATAATTCCGAAAATGATTCGTGGTGTATGGGCTGACTCCACAGACAAGGTCCGAGAAGGTATCAGGGTAGGACAATGGCGGTAGGTCTTCAGGATTTCTACTCCACTGCCGTATTTCATACGGGTCCACACAGTAGCAGTTTTAGATACGGGCGACACGGGCGGTTGCCTGGGGCGGCATCGTGGTGGGGGGCGGCATCACGGGCATCGGCAAAAAAAAGAAAAAAAAATGCTCGTACTCATGCTGCCCCGACGTCAGCCAGCGCATATTGGGAATGGCATAGGCACC